CTTACGTAAATCTATGTGCTTACGTAAATCTATATTGTTGTCCACGCATTCCTGTGTGCAAAAACCGTGCGCGCGCCAGCGAAGCGAGCTCCTCCCCCTCCTATCAGAATCCTGTAGGACCCTGACGAACCCTAAAGGACTCCAAAACGAATCCAATGGGAATCTTCTAGGACCTTGTAGGAACCCCGTAGGAATCCCGTAGGAATCCAAACGGAACCCTGCAGACCCTGTAGGAGTCCTGTAGGGATCCCATAAGACCCCCACGGACCCCGTAGGTTTCGGTAGGAATACTGCAGGATCACTACGGACCCGATGGGAATCCTTTTTTAGGAATCCTGCAGGATCCCTACAGACCCTGCAGGAATCCATGTGGAATCGTATAGAGTCCCCACGAACCTTACAAGACTCCTACACGAATCCTATGGGAATCCTGTAGGACTCCGCAGGGACCTTTTTTTTCCAGGAATCCGATAGGATCCCTACGAAACGTCCAGGACTCCTATACGAATCCGATGGGAATCCTATATGACCATGCAGGAATCCTATAAGAATTCGATAGGATCCCATACGGACCCTGTAGGAATCTTGTAGGCATCCTATGGGATCCCTACGGACCCTTCAGGAGTCCTGTAGGAATGCTCTAGGACCCCTACGTGCCCTGTAGGAATCTTGTAGCAGTCCAATCGGATCCCTACAGACCCTGTAGGAATTCTGTAGGAGTCCTATAGGACCCCTACGGACCCCATAGGAAACCTGGAATCCTGTAGGAATGTAGGAAGCCTATAGGATCCCTGCGGGCCCTATCGGAATCCTGTAGGCATCTAGCAGGAATCGACTGGGATCCTTACGGACCCTGCAGGAAACCCTCTTTGGAATCCCTCTACATGTGTATCCACCTCTAAGGTGATTGTGGTACAGTGGTTCCACCTCTAATCAGATTCTATATTCGGTGGGTACCTCTGATAAAATTCGATTGCAAAACCGACACGGCCTGTATGGGATCCGTTGCAGGTCCGATGCGGCCTGCAACGGAGCCTACACAAACCCGGCACGGCCTGTATGAGATCCCACGCAGACCCGACACGGCTTGTCTGGGCTTCCCACCAAAGATCCGACACGGCATGTATGGTATCCCACACAAATCCGACACGGCCTGTATGGGATCCTACATAGACCCGATACGGCATGTACGGGGGGGTCCTGTACAAAGCCGATACGGCCTGTATAGGATCCTATACAGATCCGACGCGGCCTGCATGGGATCAGAGCCGATACAGCATGTACGGTGTCCTGTACAACGCCGGTACGGCCTGTACGGGATCCTACACAGATCCTGTAAGGATGTACGGGATCATGTGAAGATCCGATACGGCCCTTACGGGACCCCACACAATTCCGACACGGCCTGTAATGAAGCCAACACAGATCCGATACGCCCTGTACGGGATCCTAGCGATCTCGAATGGAATAGCCAATTAGCGCTTCAAGGGAGGCGATAACTGTTACTGTCGGAAAAGAGTGTAACAGCAATATAATATCTTTTCCTTATCATAATGTGCGCGGACGTTTGGTCTATTCAAGCCTGAAGTGGCCATAAAACGGACTGACGGGTGACAACTGCTAACAGTGCTACATGCTGACACTGCTAACATGTATGAGGGGCCGAAATCGGGGACCACTGGGGCCCCGAAGCGCGGGAGGGGTGTGTGCCGAACTGGACCCGAGGCCTTCGGTGGAGACCCCTGTGGACTTAACCCGAAACCGTCGGTAGATCTCACTGGGGCCACGAAACGTGTGAGGGTTGTGCCGAAATCGGCCCGAGGCCTTCGGTGGAGCCCCCTGTGGGGCCACGAAACGTGTTGGGGGCCTGCCGAAATTGACCCGGATCCTTCGGTGAAGCCCACTGGGGCCACGAAACGAATGAGGTGTGCGCCGAACTGGACCCGAATCCTTCGGTGGCCCCCCTTTGAGCGTGTGAGGGGTGTGCCGAAAGTCCCCTGCTACCTTCGGTTAAGCCCACTGGGGCCACGAAACGTGTGAGGGGCTTGCCGAAATTGGCCCGAAACCCTCGGTGAAACCTAGTGGGGCCACGAAACCTGTGAAAGGTGTGCCGAACTGGACCCGAGGCCCTCGGCTGAGCCCCCAAGTGGGGCCACGAAGCGTGAAACTGGCCCGAAATCTTCGGCCTGTATGGGACCCCATACAGATCCCGTACGCCCTGTATGGGATCCGATACACATCCCATACGGCCTCGCAAGGGCCTCCCGAGCAACGCCCAGGAGCCTCGCAGCAGTCCCGAAGGGACCGTCCGAACATCGCCACGGGGACCCTGTGGGGCCCGCGCAGGGGCAGGGCGAAGCCCCGTGGCTTCGCTCAGGGGAGGGGCGAGCAACCGGCCCAAAGTAGTGTCCTCGTGAAGAACAACAACACCAGCAACGACAACAACAGCAACAACAAACAAAAAACACAAACAACAACACAAACAACAGCAACAACAACAACAACAATAACAACAACACCACCACCAACAACAACAACACCAACATGATGGACCCACGAACCCGGAAAGGGATATAGACATGTGGAGCATGGACACGTTTTCACGATACCCAACTGGGCAACACCTCACGAAACACCCCACGAGACACTTCACGAAACATCCCACGAGACACCTCACGAAACATTCCACGAGACACCTCACGAAACATTCCACGAGACACCCCGCGAAACATTCCACGAGACACCCCACGAAACATTCCACGACGACAGGCAACCACTCACCCAAGGCGGTGTGGTCGTGCTGGGGAGTGGTCGTGCTGGGGTGTGGTCGTGCTGGGGGGTGGTCGTGTGGGGGGTGGTCGTGCTGGGGCGTGGTCGTGCTGGGGCGTGGTCGTGCTGGGGCGTGGTCGTGCTGGGGTGTGGTCGTTCTGTGGTGAGGTCGTGCTGGGGTGTGGTCGTGCTGGGGTGTGGTCTTGCTAGGGTGTGGTCGTGCTGGGGTGTGGTCGTGCTGGGGGCGTGTCGTGCTGGTGTGTGTTGCGTGCTGTGGTTGAGGTCGTGCTGGGGTGTGGTCGTGCTGGGTGTGGTCTTGCTGGGGTGGGGTCGTGGCTGGGTGGGGGGTCCTGCCTGGGCGTGGTCGTGCTGGGGCGTGGTCGTGCTGGGGTGTGGTCGTGCTGTGGTGAGGTCGTGCTGGGGTGTGGTCGTGCTGGGGTGTGGTCTTGCTGGGGTTGGGTCGTGCTGGGGCGTGGTCGTGCTGGGGCGTGGTCGTGCTGGGGCGTGGTCGTGCTGGGGTGTGGTCGTGCTGTGGTGAGGTCGTGCTGGGGTGTGGTCGTGCTGGGTGATGGTCTTGCTGGGGTGTGGTCGTGCTGGGGTGGGTGTGGTCGTGCTGGGGTGGTCCGCACATGTGATTTATCCGGATCGGGTTGTGCTGGGTGTGGTCGTGCTGGTGCTGGGGTTTGGTCGTGCTGGGTGGTGGGTCGTGCTGGGGTGTGGTCGTGCTTGGGGAGTGGTCGTGCTGGGGTGTGGTCGTGCTGTGGGGTGGTCGTGCTGGGGGTGGTCGTGCTGGGGGGGTGGTCGTGCTGGGGCGTGGTCGTGCTTGGGGCGTGGTCGTGCTTGGGGCGTGGTCGTGCTGGGGCGTGGTCGTTCTGGGGTGTGGTCGTGCTGTGGTGAGGTCTGCTGGTGTGTGGTCGTGCTGGGTGTTGTCCTTGCTTGGGGCGTGTCTCGTGCGGGCGGTTCGGGTCGTGCTGGGGTGTGGTCGTGCTGGGGTATGGTCGTGCTGGGGTGGGTCGTGCTGGGGTGGGGTCGTGCTGGGGTCTGGTCGTGCTGGGGTGTGGTCGTGCTGGGGTATGGTCGTGCTAGGGTGGGGTCGTGCATTTCGCTCGAGACATCCTGCCAAAATTCCAGGAAATCGTACAAAAACAAACGAATTAGTCGAGACATCAACGAAATTCCTTCGCGCGGGGCGCTTTTCCGCGTCGCGGTCGGCTCTGCAAAACCAGCGTTTCGCTTGAGACATCCTCAGCAAATTCTGAAAACAAGCGTTTCGCTCGAGACATCCTCAACTCTGCAAAACCAGCGTTTCGCTCGAGACATCCTCAAGAAATTCTGCAAAACAAGCGTTTCGCTCGAGACATCCTCAAATTTTAATTCGCCGGCCTCCTTCGACTTCGTTATTTATCAAGGAAAAAATTCGCCGGCCTCCTTCAAGCAGGCACCGGGGGACATGTTTACATACTAAAAGAGAACCCTAGGCTTAAGCCCTTTCCGGGAAAAACAAGCGTTTCGCTCGAGACATCCTCAAATTTTAATTCGCCGGCCTCAAAAACAAGCGTTTCGCTCGAGACATCCTCAAATTTTAATTCTCGGGCTCGTTATTTATCAGGGAAAAATTCGCCGGCCTCCTTCGACCTCGTTATTTATCAGGGAAAAAATTCGCCGGCAATTCGCCGGCCTCCTTCAAGCAGGCACCGGGGGA